AAAAACATGCATCAAACTGACATTGAACGCCAGTAACTGCACGTAACGGACGTCTGCTCTTCTTCTTCGTTTATTTAATTGCGGGCGCCAACTACCGTTTAGGATGTGTTAACACCACCTATCGAGTTTCCCTCCCTGGCAGGAGGAATATTTTCTCTGTCAACCATCATGTTTCTGAATTAGGTGAACTAAAATTAAACTAAAAACTACGTTTTTGAAGTTTTTGGAATAATAAGTTAAATTGAGGAAAATAAAAACCAGTCAGCTTTTTTTGTTGTAACACAGTCTGGCTGATGATCAGACTTGTTGACAAGATAGCTGCCTAAACAGTAAAGTGTTATATTTTGATCATGATACCTATTTTGAAGGTCGCAAATATTGATCATGCCATTTTATTATATTTAAAAGTCAGGACGTGGCATTAACCCATTACAGTTGGTTGCTGGTTATTCTAATGTGTGAAGCACAGAAAGATATTTATAGGTTTTGCTATAATTGGTTGGGCGTGTTGCACAAACTAATTAGTAAAATAAACTGAGAAGTAAAAGAGGTTTCTGAACAGCCACGTTCAGGACAAAATAACCTTGTTTCACTACAATGTGTCCAATAATTTTTGAGGAATAGTGATTCTTGTGAGTTGTCCCCTCACCTCAGCCTTCATATGACTCTCTAAGCAGGACTGCTGTGGTTAAAAAATAAAAATAAAAATTCAGAAAATTCTTCCAAATGGCATTGAAACTAGCTTGGCTGTTTCAGGCTGTTTTTGCTGTGCGTGTTATACTAAAAGAGTATGAAATACTAATATGCAGTAAGTGAAAGTAGCAATACAACAGTGTTAAAATACAATACAATCCCAGCCTATCTAAGCCTATCCCAGCTGATTACCACTCCTACTCAGGGCAAATATATAGAGACAGAAAAACACTTACTACATGAGCATATCTTTGAACTGCTGGAGAAAACTGGAGTACCCGATGGAAACCTACACAGGCACATGGAGAACATGGAAAATGAATTTAAATTCAATTTAATTCATATAGTGACAAATCACAGTAGCATCGCCACCTCAAGACAGCTTATACTGTAAGGTAAAGACCCTACAATAGTACAGAGAAAACCTCAACAATCTGATGACCCTCTATGAGCAAGCACTTGGCAACGGTGGAAAGGAAAAACTCCCTTGTAACAGGAAGAAACCTCTGGAAGAACTGACAGAAAAGGGGCTGAACAAAAAGTTTATTTTGTTCAATCCACTGCAATACTGTTTTGGAAACAAAGAACACCTTAGAGATTAAGTTTCCTTTGATCTGTCAATCATAACTATATCTGCCTTATTTCCTTTTGAAAAAATAGTTTCTATAACTGAAATAAAACCGAATTTTCTTTAAAATAAAGATCAGAGAGAAGAACATGTCAGAATAACTACTAGAAAATGAGCTAAAGACCTCTGTGTTTCCTTATGTAACACTTTGTCTTTTACCATTTAGCCAACCAATTTCTTCCCTTCTGCCCCCGTGCAAAATTATAGTGCATGTATTTTTCCATATCCAAACATGTCTCTTTGTTTGCACACAGATCAAAATATCCTTAAAGGTTCGTCACAGGATGGCATGCTTTTTAACAATCATTTTATTAAAACAATAGCAAGAACATTAAAGAGAACTGATTTATATTAACATTTTCTGTAATGATTTTTGTCAGTACTAGAAATCAGAAATTCTCTTGACTTGGATAAAGGTCTGGAAGCAGAGGATCATCAATGAAGCTACCTTGTCTGAAGGTTTGGTTTGTTGATTTTTAATGTGAGGCTTGCAGTCAGCATGAGCAGTTTAGAATATTTTATTAAAATATTGCTTAGCTTACAAAGATACCAGCTCATATTAAGAAAACACAATGAGCTTTGAAGTACTTTATTAAAAATCATTATACCTAAAATATTCAGCACAAAGCTGCAGGCAGTTCTTTGGTGCAAGAAGAAAGCCTGAATATGTTCATCAAGATAACTGAGAAACTAAGATACATTATAAAATGTAGTCTTATTTGGTTGTTGTGCCTCCTCGTTCTCGGTGTTTGC